TTAAGGTTGGTTCCTCTAGCCCATTTTATTGCGTGCTGGTTTATCGTCCTCCTGGACCTGCTGCTGCCTTTTTAAAGGATTTTAGTGACTTCTTATCTTCAATCATAAAATTGGAAAATGTTTTAATCCTTGGAGATTTTAATATCCATGTTGATGACAGCACATCCTGCCCAGCAGTGGAACTTTTAACAATGACAGAAACTTTTAATTTTGAGCAACATGTCTCTGGCCCTACCCATCAAAAGGGTCACACTTTAGACCTTGTCTTTTCACTTGGCCTTAATGTTGCCAATCTTTGTGTAGATGACGTCCACATGAGTGATCATTGCTGTGTTTTATTTGATCTAATCTCTGGTCCTGAGCCTGTGTCTTCTGAGTTTAGGTCTCAGAGGCGGATTATCACAGAGAACACTACTGTTAGTTTCTCCACTTTGTTTGATTTGAAATTATTTTTGGGATGTCACGATGTGGAAAGCCTCATGCATAGTTTTAATAGCCACTGTGAGTCCATTTTGGATCAGGTTGCACCTGTCAAATCAAATCTGGTGTCTCATAAAGCAGTGTGTCCCTGGATTAATGATGGTATCCGTGATATGAAGAGACTATGTCGGAAAACCGAGCGTCTGTGGAAGTCCACCAAACTTGAGGTACATAGGTTGCACCTCAGGGAACTTATGTCTTCTTTAAACGAAACGATAAAAAATGCCAGATCTGACTACTTCCGCCAAGTATTGTTTGATACCATCAACTCTATTGTATGTCCTGCTGCTCCTCTTGCACCTGTGTTTTGTAAAGCTGACAGCAATGAATTTCGAACATTTTTTATTGATAAAATCCAGGTTATCATAGATCAACTTCCAACGCTCTCGTTTTGCACACCTGATGCTGTTGAGCTTGTTCCCCATGAGTGGTCCTCTTTTAGCCCTGTTACACAAGCCAATGTCTCAGCTCTGGTAACCAGAATGAAGCCCTCTTTCTGTGTGTCTGATGTTCTGCCCTGTAAACTTTTTGTCAAAGTTTTTGATGTCATTGGCCCCTGGGTTACCAATCTGATCAACCTTTCACTGTCAACTGGTGTTTTTCCCAGTTCTTTAAAACATGCCATTGTGGAACCTCTTCTCAAAAAGCCTAATCTTGACCCTACGCATCTGAACAATTTCAGGCCCATTTCAAAACTTCCGTTTTTGTCCAAAGTGTTGGAGAAGGTGGTCTCTGATCAGTTGGTACCCTTCTTGGAGAAACACAACATTTTTGACACTTTTCAATCCGGTTTCCGTAAGCATCACTCCACGGATACCGCCCTGCTCAAAGTGTCCAGTGATATTATGATGTCTGCAGACTCTGGAAGATGTACTGTTCTTGTGTTGTTAGATCTCTCGTCAGCATTTGACACTGTGAATCACCAAATCTTGTTGACAAGACTGCGTGACCTGGTCGGAATGTCAGGACCAGTCCTTGCGTGGTTCTCCTCTTATTTATCGGGGAGGAGCTTTAGTGTCTCTGCAAATAAGTTCCTGTCTGACTCTGCTGATTTGCTGTGCGGGGTTCCCCAGGGCTCTGTTTTGGGCCCGATTTTGTTTTTACTCTATGTCCTTCCATTAGGGAAAATTATCCAGAGCTTTGATGATGTTTCTTACCATTTATACGCTGATGATATTCAGCTATACTGCTCTTTTAAGCCCTCTGAGATCGAGAAGTTAAGCTCTTTGCTGAAATGTCTTACGCAAGTTAAAAAATGGCTTGGTACAAATTCCCTCCAACTAAATTCAGACAAAACGGAGATGCTGGTGTTTGCCCCTGATGACGCGATTCCAGGGATTCACCAGTATTTGGGCGATCTGAGTTTGTCTACTAAAGCAAGCCTCAGAAATCTAGGCGTTAACTTTGACAAAGCAATGTCCTTAGAGCATCACTCAAAACTGCTGACAAGGAACTGTTTTTACCAACTGAGAAAAATCTCCAAACTTAGAGCAATTGTGCCAAGGGATGACCTTGAAATTATTATCCACGCCTTTGTGTCTTCCCGTTTAGACTATTGTAACAGTTTATTTTCTTGTCTAAACAAAAAGGAGTTGTCCCGCCTTCAGCAGGTACAAAACTCTGCGGCGAGGTTACTGACTCGCACAAACAGACAGGCTCATTTTACTCCCATTCTAAAAGCCCTCCATTGGCTCCCAGTCACTTTTCGTTTCAATTTTAAAATCCTGGTGTTGACCTTCAGAGCCTTGCATGGTCAGGGTCCCTCTTACATTAGAGACTTGTTGTGTCCTTATACCCCCTCTCGGAGGCTGAGGTCTCAGGATCAGAACCTTCTCATGGTCCCTCGTACCCGTTACAAGACGAGAGGAGATCGCTCCTTCCAGGTGGTCGCGCCGACGCTCTGGAATGATCTTCCGCTTTCCTTGCGCTTACTTGATTGTGTTGATGTTTTTAAGTGTAAACTGAAAACATACTTGTTTGAAAAAGCATTTTAATTCCAGTGGGAAAGGGGTTGTTTTATGACCACCATGTTTTGTGATTGTAAATGTAAATGTACTTTTATTTATATTTGTATTTTTTGTGAAGCACTTTGTGACCTTTGTCTGTGAAAGGTGCTATATAAATAAATATTACTTACTTACTTACTTACTAATACTGTTGAACATATATAGACAAATAAGGGGTCTGTCCCTCCACTAAAAAACTCGCACTTTGATATCAGTCATTATGTCCTGGGCACATGCAGGATCAGTGAGCCTGAATTTACAGTTGAATATGTAAATTAGTTGGGAAAAATAAATTCATACATTGATTATATAAATGCTAACTGCTTGTTTTGAAGAAATGCCAAACACATTGAGGATATCGACTCACAGACATCTCTGCAAAACCCACATTAAAATTACATGCTGGTAAAATATTTTCATCCGGCTTTTGGCAAATCTTATGAAAGATATTTAGAAGCACATTTTTGGTGAATGGTTATGTCAATGTGAAAATATGAGAAAATATATCTAAATGCTATACTGTTTTATTTTGAGGTATGAAATGGGAGATGGCATGCTGTTGAACATGATGATTACACTATTTACTCTGAAATGTCATATCATAGAATGTGAAATAAAGCAGAATGTAAAACATATATAAAAAACACGCATTGAGGATCATAGCTCAACTCTTCCACCACCAGACGGGGTGATGCATTTCTTCTGATTTGATATGATATGAAGGGACCGTAGTGTTGGTCCTGAAAACAATATCTTTTGATACAGAATTTTTTTTTGAAACATGGTAAAAATATCACAGACAGACTATTTTGCATTAAACTACCCATGTCACACATATACACATACAATGTTGTTATAATACTTTCTCTTACGGTTAAACCGTAAATATACACATGTATTGGTAAAATGGGAAGGCATCTCACTCTGAACAAAACATTGACCACCATTAACATGACCACCTTCACTTCTGGTCGATCACATGGAAACTCCACCCATCTGTCCCATAAAAGTCACATAAAACTGAGGAGCTGTGAAAGGCAGCTGTGATATGGATGTCTGCAAATCTTCATGTGAGAGTCTTTCACGTGCAGTAGAATGCGGCACTGAAAATGTTACAAAATAAAATACAACTTTGCTAGTCTCACTCGGCTGTTTGTGATTTGCTCTGAAGAGGAGATAAAGGCATTTGGTGTGAAGTTTTCCCGAAGAATTTGAATATTTCTGTCTCTATATGTGCGCTGTTATTTCTCTGACACCATCCACACTGCACTTTGAAGAGGAGAATGATTCTTAAGGGTGTGATGCTTTGATATTATGAAGGTTAGGTTTCTGTCTGTGAAATCAACCACAGAGTAACAATAACCATAGCATTTGGTATGCTACTACTTCTCATGCACTGTAACAAAATCAATAATCTAATAATCTAATTTGCTTGTTAAATTGGGAAGTTTGTTATTTTTTGATTGTGTGAGAACGAACCCTTACTCCTTAAAGCAATATGTAAGATTTTCATGTCAAATCATCATTGAATAGCCCTAATCTGTCAAAATGCATTAATAAACCATGGTCTTCTCCAATACTTAGATATGTTTGGGTTTCAAAATTAGTTTTACAGCCCGTGAATTTTGTTATTTTCATTTTGATGTCCCGCCCTCCACCATTTACCAATCAGAAAGTCCTTAATCTGGGTTGCCAGAACTCACCGCGTCGTGCTAATCTCACTCGTAAAGTACCATGTGGCCGCTGTATTAATAAAAAAAAGGTCTCAATATGATTCTCAAATCATTAATGACAAAACAAGGAATAAAATGAGGAGTATCTCTGTGAACAAGGTGTTATAGATTTGTTGTCTATCCAGATATTATTGTCCCAGCTGGATTTGTCTGCATCTGGCAACCTGAGTCAGGGAGAGTGGGAGAGGTTGCAGTACCACTTATGGCCAGATTATTACATACTGCTCTTTCAATTCAAGTATGCAGCGTAGATAGCGACTTTGCATTTTTAAATATATTAACGTGATTTTTAGTATTACCGTATTACTTATTGTTTTGGGTGCTTGGAGCATTTTTGAGCCATAATAACTATTGCCTACAAACGTCTATGTAGAAAGGCATGCAAGGTCAACTATATATGAAGCAATATTATCAACTACTTGTTGTAAATCCTCAACAAAACGGCTAGAAAATAATCTGGCTCTATATTTCTGCAGATTTACGTGATGGGGAAGTGTGGATTACTTTGTGGGATCAAAATTCAAGTGTGTCTTTGTGACAGTGAAAAGAACCCAACATTTTTGTCAAATTGTCGTCTGCCCATGGTTTGATTACTCGGTGTTCCTTTGTTCCCTTCTTCCTCAGTCCATGAATAAAGTAATCATAGAGGTTAAGTGAATGGCCTTAAATGTGCTTGATTGCTGGTTGCCAGATTGCTGCAATTTAAATCACGCTTTTATCTCTCTATGCATGTCTCATAGAGTTCCTAATACACGTCTGTATTTTCTTGTGTATGTTGCAGGTCAGTGGGGTCAGTGCGTAGGAGACGAATGCGGCTCTGGAGGTTTTCAGACGCGAACGCTGTGGTGCTTGCACGCAGAGGGCTGGACCACGCATTACTCCCACTGCCCGCCAAGGGACAGACCCGAGACCAGGCGGCCCTGTTTTAAGGTCTGCGGCTGGCACCAGGACCTGTTTGAGTGGGACGTATCACAGTGGGGGGCCTGCGTTCTGGTTCCCTTCTTTTCTAACGAGCTCAAACTTAGGACAGAGTGTGTGACGGCGCAACATGGCATCCAGCGCCGAAAAGTCCATTGCGTCCGCACCACCAATCGGACTGCGGTCTCGCTCAGGATATGTGAATTTTTTTCCCAGAAGCCAGCAGTGGAGCAGGCTTGTCTCATCCCCTGCCCACAAGACTGCATAGTGTCGGATTTCACGTCTTGGTCGATTTGCAGTAGGACATGTGGCACGGGGCTTCAACATCGCACTCGGCACGTTCTAGCCACGCCCATGTACGGAGGTGCGCACTGTCCCAATCTCACCGAAACCAGGACTTGCACGCACCCCGCGCACTGTCCCGCTGGGGAGGAGGAGCACCGGTACAGCCTTAAAGTGGGCGCGTGGAGCGAGTGCAGGCTGCCGCACGATAAAGACTCGGTTCTGAGCGGTAGGACCACCGTGGACTTCGGCGGCTTTCAGGAGAACAACACGGTTTTACAGCACACTCAGGCTCATCTTAAACACGCCCATTTGCACCCGGTCCAACCAATCCAGAGCCACTACCCCATGTCCTGGGAGCTGGAGGTGGGATATCGAACCAGACAAGTCCGCTGCACCCGGAGTGATGGCAAAAACGTCATGCTGAGGTAGGTCGTACACCTGTCACTCAAATGGAAATATATTATGACTAAAATAATACATTGTGTGAGCTACCCCAACCTTAAAGCTTGGGTAGCTAACTTTCAAATGTAATGTAATTAAATAGTTAGTTAATTGCAGTTAAGTTTATGGTTAGTTAAATAGTTAGTTAATTGCAGTCAATAGTTAGTTAAACCCCCCCCCAAACTGTTTCATTCAATCACTAATTGAACCCGAAAGCATGCATTATATAACGTTCTTTACATTAGCGAATAACCTCTCAGACAAAACATGTTGTGGTCTGATTTTTCCACAAGATTTGACGTTTACAAGACTCTTACAAGACTTTCTGTTCAAATAAACAACTGGGAGGAAACAAAGTTAGGCGCCCTGGCTTTAGATATACAGTAGATGATTATCAAAGAAACTACTGAGGCTTGAGAAAAGGAAATGATTTGTGGCTCAGATATGGGAGTTTATCTTAATCTCTTTTTCTGCTGATGGAGCTTGAGAGCTGAGAAAGTGCTTTGTTACTGACAATCAGAAAGTGAACTTGAAGACCTTGTTGTTTTTAGGCTTCTTTTACTTTCTGAGTTTAGACCAGACAGCATGAGAACAGGCATCACTTTTCATGCTATATCTTTCATTTTTGAATTATTCTACATGCTATTAAGATCTGTGGAGAGATTTCATTTATTTGTTGAGATCATGAAAATTGCGTAATACAGATTTTTTTTTTTGATGCACTTAAAGCTGACGGTACTTCACTGCTCACTTATCCTTGCAGGCTTCTCATTAAATACAGTAAATGTGCACGTTCCTTTATGTACTTTTTGACTGTGTCTGAGCAATATAGCTTGAAGAATATGCGTAATCCAGAGAGTGATTTTTCAACTAATACAATAGAAATCCAAAATATATTTTTCGTGATTCATGAAATACAGTACATGTACATGACCTGATTTTTTTTAAAACTTGAATTAATATTTTATTTGCAATCCAAAATACAGAACAAAGTGCACTGTAGGGATCTTGACTCTTGTTCTAGTTGGATAAAAGCAGTGGGCGGGATGTGCAGTCAAATAATCAAGTTATTTATACTGAGGATTTAATCATTTGCAGATTATGTGGATTCTGCTGTTATTCCTGGCTGTGTGGCAAAGCTAAATGTCAAGTGCTGCCCTCTCTCTGCACTAACCCTGCTATTTGGATCATTTTAACAGAAAAGACTGCTCTGCACAAATATGAGCAATCTTCCTCTTGAAAATAATTGTACGATATTAATTTTGATGAGGATTTCTATTCTGTGAAAAATACTTCTAATGAACGAGTCAGCTCCTGCCAATGAAATGAAATGGAAGCATCTGGTGCAGTCTGTGAACGAATCAGGCTGATTTCAACACAAGTTGAACCACTTAGATCCAACAGAAAGTTAATTTGTATTTCTATTGATCCTTCTGCACTTACAACAGAAACAAGGAAGGTTTTGCAAATAAATGTCTCCATTTTCATCACAAAGCTTTAGTGTTGTGATTGATTGATAGGCATGTATGGGTTGTGTCTCTGAGAACATTGTGGGCCTCTGAATATTAATAACATCATTATTGGCCCTTAGGCTTTTTGCTCATGTTGCTATAATCAGTAGTGAGTCGTGCATTCATGACATTCTTTCTACAGAATCTAATCTTTAAGAACATTTTTTTTTGTGCTCAACACCATAGATAGACATTGCATTACCTCACAATAACACAGTTTACAGCTGGAGAACAAACTAGTGTTTAGTTCAGATGTATTATTTCAGCACAGGAGCGTAATGGAAGAAAAGCTGCTTCTCCAATTTAGTTTTACACGAGCAACAGTTTGAGGGTCTGAAATATATGATCAGAAATGAGGCTTGACCCTGTAGTCAATGAAGATAATTTAATAAAAGGTGTAATGTGTGAAATTCTTCTGATCAGACGTTTTCTGGTCCAACTCGAGCATGGGCAGCACGGTGACTGAGTGGTTAGCACTCTCGCTTCACCACATGAATGGGGTCAAATACCGGTTTGAACAGGGTCTTTCTGAGTGGAGTTTGCATGCTATCCATGTTTCTAGGTTTCCTCCAGGAGCTCCGGGTTCCCCTACCTCTAAAAACATGTACAAGTACGTGTAAGTCTGTATAAGTCTGCCATGTGCCTCCTGTATGGTAACCTCGCCCCTAGTTGTAATTGCTTTGTGACTCTGGTCTGTGAAGGCACTATATAAATAAAGATAGCTTATTTAATTACTACTAATGTGAGCCAAGGTCCATGATTTGAGTTATGAAGCCGACTAAGCAAAGCCTCGTATTGTTAAGTGTGAATAAAGAGCTGGTGGCTCTGGGTTAAAGTCATCCATTTGTTATTATTACTTCACTGATAGCTTTACTTTTCATTCGACCCTCCACTTCGAATGAATGTTGTTGCAATTTACTTAATACATAGCCGGACTCTTGCATGAGTTTAGATTGTACAGTATTTGCATTCTTCTTTTTTGTTTTACTTGAAGTCTATACTCCACACAGCCTTGTTATCACTCTGTTTACTCAGACGTGAGACCGGAGCTTGTGAATATGGATTTCCCACCTGGCCCATGCATCATTCTGTTCGTCTAATTACATTGTTGGATTCTGGGATGAGCTTTGTTCTCATTTTAATAATCTAAACTAATTAAAGTGTCCAAATGAAACAACAAAAACTGTAATTGGATAAGTGTTGCGGTGTTGCTGCCTCTCTGTCAGCTGAAAGCGTTGTTTTGTCTGCCTTACGCCTCACCGTGTTACAGCTATAGAGGTCAAATGTGTATGCAGTGTACTATCGGGCTGCAGCTCTCCGGGGAGATGGTATTTCTGTCCGCTTATGTCAATTACTGTAACAAGATTCACTCACTGTCAATCCAAACCTGGCTTTTTAAAGATACTGTGGCATTAACAATACAACTTGACATACCAGAACCAGGTTTCCATATTCCAAGCGGTTCTCAGTGTAACTTTTTGAGATGGAGCATATGCCACCGGCTTGTCTCCATGGTGATGTTACCACTTTGCTGTGTGGAATATTTCATTTTGAGTGTTGATCTAAAAAAGCAGGGGTTTCAAATATGCTGCTGAGGCCATTTTTAGTGGCCCCCGATAAGGATTAAACAACAAATTTTTTTCATTTCATTTATTTGGCTAATTATTGATTCCATCTTTTAATTTGATGTTGACATTGTGGACTTTTTAATAATTTAAAGTTCAAAAGGTTCCTTCTTTAGTTTGATTGACATAAGATGAACAAGTTACAATAATAATTCTATCTCTATAATAGATACTTTTGCAATATCCTATGTATCAATCTTAGCATTTTTATTCTGGCGGTTCTAATTATGGCACTAACTTGTTTCCTTGTAAGAACAATTTCTTTTTTTCAATTTATGTATCCAATTTAACGTAATAGGAGCTGGAGCTAAAGTCTATTTGCATTTCCAATTGAAACAGCCTCATTTTTACACAATGGCTTCATTTATTGAAGTCCCTTACAAACAAACAATCTGCTCAAAAGGCACCAACTCTTGAATTAGGGAATTTAGGATTAGTTTGTAATTACTGGAGTACAATTTCATTTTCTTAAATGATACTGTAAGGATGGAGAGGCAGCTTAAGGGCAATAATATTTTGATCTGGTTCCAAGTGAGAATGTTTCTTCCTTGTATCATTTGCAAATCTGCCATACCTTTGGAAAATACAGTATATATAACATTTAGAATATTGTTCAGTCCATCACACTACAAAATTTGATTGATACATGTCTGACTTTTGACAGTTACCATAGTTACTTTAAAAAAAAAAAAAAAAAAATCAGGTGCCCTCCACCAAAATATGAAGCACTTTTCTCTTTGGAATGTTGTGTCACAAGAACGCAACCTGTTAGATATTTTATTTCATGTATTATCTTTCTCTTCTTTGCCAAAATCATGCAGCCCTATTAAGATGTTTACATGTTTACTGTGCCCACAGCCTGTGCTCGAAGCCCACCCCTCCGGTCACCTTCCAGGCCTGCATCATGCCGCAGCCGTGCCTGGTCGCCGACTGGTCCTCGTGGAGTCCCTGCTCTAAAACCTGCCGCTCCTTGGACCTCTCCCCGGGGTTTCGTCTTCGGACGCGGACTATGACCCAGATCCCTGTGGCTGGAGGCAACCCGTGCCCTGCCCTGGAAGAGAAGGAAGCGTGTAACATTTTAGGAGACTTGCTACTAAACTGTCCCAGGTATTTTCAACACGCTTTATCAACACAATGTCAAAATGTGTTTGCAAATTTGAGTTTCGTTTCTCCCTGAGTAATTGTGACAGGTGCCTTCTGGGGTAGAATAAACATGACTCGACTAAAATTAGCTCAATTATCTCGCTCCCCAAATAACCTTGTACCGTTGGGACTTCCTGAAAACACGACAAGCTAGATAACAAATAATGGCTTGAACCTCATTGTTAGGGGGCCATTTGAGGCAAAGCTGCGTAGGGTAATTTAAAGCGCAGTCAACAAAGTGGTCGATTGAGAATTATTGTTGGATTTTTTTGTTTTATTTGCCAAATCTACATAGAATGCCTCAGAGGGATGGATTTACATGATTAGGAGGGAAACTCATTACAGAAATTAGGCTTTTGATAGATTACTGCAGGCTGTTGTTGTGGTAAACTCCTCAAATATTATTCCGCTACGCAACACTGCCCTCCTATATCCAAAATCAAACATTTGTTCACAAGTTTGGAAATCACAGTCGTCAGCACAGCTTCATTTGAAAAATATCGGAGAGCCTACACTGTATTTCTCTGGTTGGCAAATATATAACTCATCATTTCTTTTTAAACACCCCCATTTGTCACTGTGTGTATTGTTGCATGTAAATAAACAAATGGGCCTCTTGCACTGAAACTATTCAAGCTTTAAGCCTGTAATCAGTCCACTTTATACTTTCACCTATTCTATCTTTTATGTTATAACTTTTGCTGCAGGGAAAACACAGATTGTGATACATTGTTTGTTTATCTTGCATTAATAAATCAAGAAGACAAAGGCTGTTGTTGCAAAATAACATTCACTAACTTAGCTTAGCTCTCAATGCATTACTTTCAGTAGAATAATCTGACTGTTTGTTTTGGGTACACTAGTGCAGTGCCCGTAGAATGAATGTATTCCTACAGTGAGAGAGAGTGAGTGGGACTTTATTTAAAAAAATATGAAACAGCCTTTGAAAGCTCAGGTCGAGCTCCATGCCTTACACATAGATACAGTGTGTAAAAAGTGGTGTTCATGAAATATCCAATTAATTGAACCATCATTTTGTTGATTCTGATGCAATTCCACCAGCTCAAGTCTGTCCAAGGGGGTATTGTGTCTGAGATGGTTATTTTGTTTGCTACATAACTCAAAAAGTCTGTGGAGTCTTGCCTGAGAGTTTTTCTCTGCTTGTTTTTTTTTTATTTTTTTGCCACGCACCTCTCTGCCAGTCCATTAAAAGCTCAAGGCAAATAGACGGGCAGATCGATTTATTATATGCCACATACAAGGTTACCAACACAAAATCAATAACATGTAGTGAAATGTGACTCCTTCGAGTGACTCTTGTTTGTAAGATTGGGACATTCAGCTATATTTTCTCATAAAAGTGCCAGGTCAAAAAGTTATGTTGCAACAGTTTGACAGCATCCTATGTTTTTCAGGTTCGAGTGGCGGAGCACAGACTGGGGAGAGTGCCGTGTCTCCCCTCTACTGAGCCAGCAGGACAAGCGCTTGGCCAACATCAGTGCGTTATGTGGAGCAGGCATCCGGACCAGGAAAACCTACTGCGTTCAAATCCCTGATGACTCTTCTTCACATCAGAGAAAGGAGGGTAAGAGAAAGTGTTATGTCGGACCTAAAGCGCTAAATAAAGAGATGTTCCCAGAGAGAAAGTGTTGGCACGCTGCAGAGCTGGGGCTGAAGCAACTGGGTGGTACAGTAATAGTCATTAGGCAAATTTAGCACCATTTATTAAAAGGGGACATTGCAATTGACTTTTTTCCCGAAATGTAGCAACATACAGTAAGCATACATAGGTCAGTGTGCCCCAGGGCAGCTGTGGCTACAGTAGTAGTTGATCACCACCGTGTATGGAGTGAATGAATCATGACATGTGAAGCGTCTTTGAGTGTCCAAAAAAGCGCTATATAAAACCGATGCATTATTATTATTATTATAGGTTTAGACAAGACATGTGGAACAAATAAAAAAGGTACAGACATATACCTGGGACCATCATTAGAATTCATACAATACAGTACAGACTATACAGCATCATTGATGGGACGGAAAACATGTGTGTTGTGGGAGGGTGGAGTCTTAGCATCAGCAACATGTTATTAAAGAATACTGAGTTAGGAGAACATATTGTAATAATAACAGCAATAATAGCAGTGATGACAACAATCCAAATAATATCATAATTATATCAAATGTTTAATTTACGTTTTTAATATTGTATTTTGCTCTTTTCACGCTCTAGGCCCAAGGTTATTCTTCCATTACACATTGCTCGGAGAATCCTTGTTCTCAAAGCCACTTATGTTTTTTATTATCCCTCAAGATTTTGACAAGAAAGAGGAGCACAATCTACTAACCACTGTGCGATCTGTCACTATCTCTGCACCTTGTTTTAATTATCCAGACTAACAGCGGTTGGAAAAAAACGATTAATTGGTTAAGCCGATATTGGTTAGATTATATGATGTATTGGTCAGAGATGTTTGTGGGACGACCAAATTATTTGGTTAAATCAATATTCAACCAAAAATTATTAGTTGTCCTTCTGACAAATATATTGGTCAATCTGATGGTTGAAAAATATCAGAATAATTTATTAATGACCTCATGATAAGAGACATACAGAGACATACAAAAACAAACAAACATAAACAACAACAGGGACATTTCACATCAGAAATTGGTGGAAAGTGAGAAAGAAGGTGTTTTTGAGGCAAACTGATCTGCCACAAAAAGACCTATCGTCCTAGAGTGAAATCATTTCTGTAAAAAAAAAGTGAAACCAGTACATGATATAAACACCTTAGTCACATTATGCCAAGACTCTGCTTGTTTTAATTGTTACTGTATGGATGTGTTCATCTGGAAAATATTCAAATTTCAGGTTTCATTTTGTGAGCCAATCATCAACATTACAACAAAAAAAGGCTTAATATAGTTAACTGTGCATGTAATGAGCCTGTCACATATTAGTTTCACACTGTAAGTATAATTACAGAAGTAATTGGACTTATGGAATAATGATGAATGGGGACGTTGCCGTAACGTAATTAGCAACATCATGTCTTTAATAGGGAAGATTCTGAAGCTGAATTCTCAAACCGCAGACAGCAGATAAAAGCACATGTTCTCTTTGGTTTAGCAGCTTCGATCTTTGTGCCAATGCCTTGTTGTAGCATTAAATTGAACAAGACCAGAAATCTATTGCGATGTTAGTGGTGCGTAGAGCTGTACTGGTCACATTGGAAAAATAATTGCAAAAATAATTACCTAGAATCCTTTCGATAAACACGTCAGGCCGACCACTGCCGATACGCTGTAAAAGAGGGAATCGATGTGAATCACTCGAACAGTGTAATATTCACATGACTTTGGCCTCAAACGGCTTGTTTTGTGCACTGTGCAGTTCTGGAGCTTGCCGTTTTTCCCGAAAGAACAAAGCAGGGTGTGACTCAAAGGTTAAATGCAGCGTTTATGGAGTCGTTTGGGGAAGGTCACGAAAACAGGTGATTAATCATCTGTTTGTCTCATATTCCCCTGTTCATTATAGGAATTAATATTTGTCCCTATTTTTATGACTATCATAAGCAGAGTCCAAGATTCATGACCTACAATTGACCACAGAGCAATGTCTGGGTAAGAAGAGTAAAATATTTCACACTCATTTACCCTGGGGATTGTCACTGAATTACTGACCTTTCCGAAAACACCAAGGCTGAAAATAGGCTGTCTCCGTGACCAAAGGCATAACTGCACTTTACACGCTCTTTGTAGAAGTTTTGTGAAATATTAATTGAAAACAAAATCCTTACATATGTGAAAATATGATCTATCATTTTTTTCAGAATCATTTTTTTGCCATGTAAGTACCAAGAAGTCACAGACTAGGAAATTGCTTTACTAAACAAGACATGCTAACATGCTATATAGTGCGAAATTAATAGTTACTTAATGTAACTTAAGTTCTACGAATAGGTGCGTAGTCCCTTAGGACTTCGCTAGTGGGATATCACTCGTGACCCCCAGGTCACACGCCAGAGAGATCAAAATAATTTGCTCCAATCACCAGCCACCTTCCTCTATAAATGCCCCTGCACAAGGCCGCACCCCCTCTTGAACTCTGCCAAGCCGGGCTGGCCTGATGGGCTCGTAGCTAAGGGACTACGCACCTATTCGTAGAACTTAAGTTACATTAAGTAACTATTAATTCTACGTCATGGTGCTACGTCCCTTAGGACTTCGCTAGTGGGACACAACGCGGAGGCCGTAGGAAAATGTACTCCCAACAGGCCAGCGAAGGGTGATTGGAGCTCCGCCCGAGCAAGACCCTCACAAAGTGAGAGGACTCAGGGCAGAAGAAACAATGCGTGTTACAGGGCCACTCCTACCAAGGATACCCCCACGTAACACAGATATAGGTCATCCGTAGTCACAGGACGCCTCTCCCAAGGGCTCCTGACGTGGACTACCAGACCGACCAAAACACACATATATGTACCGCACCTGTAGGATGCCTCTCCCAAGAGCTCCTGAACCAGGGCGGAAAGCAAACCGAAGGCCCCCTCAGAGGAGGGACCTAACGGTCTAACTCAGTCCGCTGCACTCAGCACGGAATGGGCCACCGACCGGTCCGACACATCCAAAAGATAAGACCGGACGAAAGAGGAGGACGAAGCCCAAGAAGCCGCACGGCATACGTCCTCGACCGACACCCCCCTGAGAAGGACCGTAGAGGCCGCCATCCCACGCGTGGAATGCGACCTGAAGCCCACCGGGAGGGCCAGACCCTGCGTCTGATACGCCCGCCGCACAGCCGTGGCAACCCAGTGCGCCAGCCGCTGAGCCGACAGCGGGGCGCCCCTGTTCTTGGGGCCCAGACACACAACAGCTGGCCACCCAACCTGAATGACGACGTCATGGCCAGGTAATGCCTCAGCATTCTGACAGGACACAGAAGGTGCCGCCGCTCCTCCTCGGGGGAGGCATGCGGTGGCGGATAGAAAGCCCTAATCCTGATGACTCTCGACCTAAAGGCCGACGTGATGACCTTGGGGAGAAAAGCCGGATTGGGCCACAATACCACCATGCCGTCGCCCTCTCCAAGGACAGGCAAGACGCATGGACAGAGAGCGCACACAAGTCGCCCGCCCTCTTAGCAGACGCCAACGCCAACGCCAACAAGAGGGCCGTCTTAAAGCGACACAATCGGGACTCGCCTCCGCCGCCGGTTCAAAAGGCGGACCCGACAGCCCCCTAAGGACCACCCTGAGGTCCCAAACCGGGGCGTTCTCTGGAGCGGGGGCCTCCTCCTGCGTGCCCCCCGCAGAAAACGTTTAACCAACGGATGAGAGCGGGCTGTGAACCCCCCGAATCCGTTGTGACCCGAAGTAATGGCTGCCGCGAACACCGCCAAGGTGGCGACAGCCCTCCCCTTGTCAAAGAGCTCCCGTAGGAATCCCAGGACCCCCTCCAGCGGGCAACGCCTGGGATCCCAGGAACGAAAACCGCACCAGTCGCTAAAGAGCCTCCACCTCGTGGCGTAGGCCCTCACAGTGGACGGCGCCCTCGCCCCCTGAGTGGTCTCCACCACCGCAGGGGGAAGACCCAGGTCTACGAGGTTCCGCCTCTCAGCCTCCAACCCAGAGCCTGCGGCCGATTATCGGGCGTGAAAACAGGGCTCCTCCCCCCCTGGACTAGAGCCCCCGGCTCGTCCGGGAGGGCCCAGGGCTCCATCACCGCCATGCCCCTCAGGAAGGGGAACCACCGAGCATGCGGACTGTCCGGCGCCACCAGGATCACCGACCTCCTCTCCTGTTCGATCCTCCGCAGCAGGACCGGCAGGAGACGCACTGGTGGGGAACGCGTACAGCAGGCCCCCTGGCCAGGGGTAATGAGCCAGAGCGTCCACGTCTAAAGGCGGCTGGTCCGCGGCCCTTGAGGCGAACCAGGACGGGCACTGTGCGTTTCCTGCACTGGCGAAAAAAGGTCGACCACTGGACGGCCGAACCTCCGCCAGATCTCCGCAGCCACCCCTGGGGCCAGGCCCCACTCGTCCTGGAGTGGGCCCCCCCACGTCGGCCCCCCTGTTGGCCCCCACGTTCCGGACCCCCGGGACGTGGCGCGCCCTGAGAGACAGGAGGTGAAGCGCCGCCCACAGCAGCGTCACCTTTGCCATGCGATGGAGAGCGGGGGACCTGGTGCTCCCCTGCCTGTTCAGATAGGAGACCACTGTGGTGTTGTCTGAGCGCACCATCACGTGTCTCCCCTGCAGCTGAGGAGCAAAGTGCAGCAGTACCCTGTGCACTGCCTCCATCTCCAGCAGGTTGATGTGATGGGCTGAGTCCGAACAGCAGCCTCCTACAGAACTTTGGCCGAGGACCCCGCCCCATCCTTCGAGCGACGCGTCCGTGAACATCTCCACGTGAGACACGGCGCCGGCCAGAGTCACTCCGTCCCGTAGAAGACCCGGAGTGAGCCAGAACCTGATGTTCGATGCTGCCACTTGGGGAACCCAGATCAGCCTCCCCCCGTCCCGGGAGGGGTGAAGCCTGAGGCGTGAGAACCACCTCTGAAAATTCCTCATGTGGAGAA